ACTTTATTCAAGATAATCGGTGGGAAGTTCCACTCCTGGAGCACTTTCGAACATAGGCTGGCCAAAAGTCACTTTGAATAGGGTACTTTTTAAATACGAGCTGCCAGGTGACAACCGACCAAACTTCCTCTTAGCACCACTGGCGCATTTTGGTCCTTTTCCCATTGAAGTTCGATTTATTGCATGACGACTCAAGATGGGAGACAGCTTTAACTGTAGGCTACTTTTCTAGGCTATACAGCAAATTTTGATGTTATCAGGAGCGATTCCCCTTTCTCCCTTTCTTCCAGCAAAAAAAAACGACAGAGGTCGTTAATTTTTCGGAGTTCGCAAAAAGTCTCAAGGTGCGAGTAGAATCTCTGCTCAATGCCAAACGTCATTTGCAAAGTAAACTCTTTCTTTTTAAGAGGCAGAAGTGACACTGAGGGGTCAGCGTTGAAGGGTTCGTTCTTGAGCGGGATTAGGGATCTTTTGGATTTTCCAGGAAAAGCGGGTAAGTCTACGTGTCGTGGATATGAATTTACATGTCACACAGTATCTTCTATTCACGAGTTTGTTCCAGTGGGTATTTTGCAATAAAGGTGGTATTTGGCGTCAAAAACAAAAAGGGACTTAGCTGAAGGTACAAGTGATGGTGCGGTCACGTCCAAAAGTGAGGTTGCGTTAGTGAAAAGGGAAGCAGGGTGATGGATCATATCACGGGCGTGATTGTTATAATATAATCGTAATTGAGATGAGAGAGCAAGAAGGTCTGAAAAAGTTTCTGTGCCTACAATGTAGTGCGAATCTTTAGGATTAATTGGGGCATAAGTGTACAAGGTTTTCTCTTTGGGAAAAAAGAATCGAACGAATGGGGTGACGGTAGCGCATTAACGATACGCTTATCCAGACTGTGTCTGCTCTTAAGTTGTTTCTAGTCCCAGGTTTATGTGCCCTGCTAATCTGCAATGAATATCGACACTTAGCGCTGTACATGAAATAATTCCATAGGCATGAAAACTATACCAATTCATCACTTTCAGCTGCGAGTTGTGAAGGCGTTCCGGTCGTCGTTAGAAGAATTCGATGAACGGCGTTCCATTGCCTCCACTCACTCCGTGCAATCGATGCGTGGATGGTCCCGGTTGGCGTCAAGTCCTGACCCGGCCGGCACCCGAGCTGCGCTTGCAGCACTTTCCCATCGGCAATCGCCACAGCCTTATCCATACTACCATCACCAACAACCACGAACTCCATCGCCGCAACCGCAAATCGTTGTTGAGAATGGGGGCGGTGGAGGCGTCGGTAGCTCTGCGCTACCCTCGCCGGCTGTCGGCAATGTGAAGCTGGAAAAAGTGCCTTTAGTGCAGAAATGGTCACCGGACACGAACTCGTCGTACTCGCAGCGCATCTCAAAGAGCATGTCACTGGATACGCCTGTCTCAGTGGCACACGTCTAGCACAATCCAACATCACTTGACACCTGTCGGCGCCTCACGAACAAGCGCTCAAAGCGAGCAATCGACGCCGATGCAGTGATATCTTGTATTTCCACTAGGGGATTGATTATTTATGTACTATGACGACCATGATGAAATGTACGTACGCACCACGGTGCTCTCGCGGGGCGCTGTCCCGCCCACACATTGCCTTGTTGTTCCGTATGGAAAAAAGACCCGGTAACGGTAGCACACCGCTACAGATTATTAATTTTTAGCGATATTTGTTGCTCTCATTGGATCTTAACTTATCTCTACTATTATTTCTCGATAACACGCAGCGCATTACTCCTCCGGCATGTTTAAGTAGACGGTCATGCTCTAGGCTCAATGTTAGAGAGGAGATTTATAGTTTGTTATATTTTGTTATTTGAGAGATTTATATTCGGGCATTTTATATATTATATTTACTAATACTAATTATGATGTCAAGTATGATTTCTATGTATGCATATATGAACGTGCTCATACCAAAAGATGATAAGAGAATTTGAATTGGAAATTCCTCCGTCATCTATTTTGAAATGTGTGCATGTGAGTGTGTGTGTTCGAGACGAAATTTCATACTATGTGTACGTCTGAAAATTTCAGTTTCCACGATTGCCATTTATATATATTTTTTATGTATAGATATGTGTAATTGGTGATTACTGCCAATCTATTACTATATTCTATTTCGGTGTCACACACGTAGTCATGGTGAAGAACGTAGCGTAGCCATCATCCCCGTTTGTAGAGCTGTTCGGCTAGTAGTACCATAGTGACAGGTGAATATGTCTGATGACGTCGCACCGCTGTCGAGTCGCATTTGATAGCGCTGAGCACTGGTAGTATTCCCGTAGAATAATTGTTAAGACTAACTGCCTCGTAATGTTTTAGTAACCTCTTTTATGTTATCACCATCCGTACTGTTAGAGTCGTGCAATGGTCGTGTTATATAATTCAACAATTCGTATGTCGGCCATCCCTCATCCACCGTACGTACAATCGTCTCACTCTCACAACGCCACTTTGACGCTATTTTCAGCAATTCTTCTTCTAGGTTCTTGCAATTTAGCGTGTGTTGGTGTGTAAGTTGTATTTGAAACTTACCGATAAATTCATAACATTCAATTGAATTGTATTATTCATTCGGCAAACACAAAATCGTGCTTATTAGTGAACGTTGTCTCAGAAGTGCTTCGTGTGGATCAATTGCTGTGCATTTGCAGATAGTGATCAGTGCTTGTTTATGACCATTCATGAAACCAGCATTCGTGCTTCATTTTGAAACCATATTCCTTTTGCAGCAGTTCGATTCTCTGAGTAGCTTTTGTTCAGTCATGACAAAATTCTGTTATAGAGGTGCCCGTCTCAAGCATGGCTTGTCTTCAAAAAGTCTTTCATGCTCGTTACTCCACCGATAGTGAGCTATGCGTTGAAGGGCATTACGGATAGATTCATCCAGTTCCCCAGAAAATACCTATCTAAAAAGGCGAAATTGCCGCTTTCGCGGCTACAGATGGCGTAGCGACAGGCGCCTCGGGGTCTTGTAGCCCTATATGCGGGAGTCAAGAATGTAGTTTAATGTCTTTTTTATATTAGTCTAGTCAAACATTTCAACATAAAGTTCCCAAAAGATCGCTAATATTTCAATATTGCTTACCGAGTCCCGCTTTGCGTGAGAAGGTGTCTGCGTCTCTCTCATCCCCTATGCTCTCTCATACTTTCTCGCAGCAGTGTCCTATACATTTACGTAGCATGTTTGACAATATAATGCTATTAGGCCAAGTATTTTGTAGCTCCACAACTATATACATTAACGCGAAAACGAAAATTGTGATGACGTCCCTGGATGTCATTGATTGAGCTCCTCAGTGCGCTAAGAAAGTGATTCGAATCACCTTCCAGCGCATTTTCACCAACTTTGCTCACCAACTGCGCTTTCACCAACTATGCTCAGTGACGTCATAAGAAAAAATCCGCTTTCAGGCGTTGTGTTCATGGTTTTAGGGAACCTGATCTAGAATTGACTTCCGCCCCAAAGGGGTTTTTTGTTACCTTGCAGAAAACTGTGACAACTTTATTATAAAAATCGAAATCAAAGGGTAAATAGTTTATGGTTACTTAGGTTGTGAGCCCGGCGTACTCATTGTTGCTCAAGGTTGCCATGACACTAAGATTATTGAGACAACGCTCTTGATAGTCAGGATTTTCCGTTGCGTCGCTTTGAGCGATTAGAAAGTCATGGTAGTTCCAAAAAACTCACATAGCTTTTTTTCTGTATAAGGATATGAAAAACAAGATAATTGACGCGTTTCCAATATCTTGTGATTACGCCCCGACTGCAGAGGAGGCATTAGTTTGACGAAAGTCCATATGACGGCCGAAAGCACCGGAGGGGTATGAGTCTTTTCTCCTCTGGGTTTGAGGTAGAACCACCGCCCGATTTCTTTTTCCACCATGACGTCCACAAATTTAGTGGCGGCATCCAGAAACATTCGAAAGATTTGCCATTTAAGATTCTTATTGTGCTTTGAGTTCCAGCATTATTTATATAACTTGTTTTTACCTCACGTGCACTGCTTACTGATTTCTGGCCGAGGGCAGTTAATTTGAAGCAGTCGTCCGCCCTTTGTAACCCTTAGCGGGTGACCCAATACTGCTTCGGTCATGCTTGCTGACGAAGTGTTGCGTCTTCTTGTCCCTGTATGTCTCTCATACCTCCTCGCGTCAGCGTCTCCCATCATTAATACATTGCTGAAAATGAAAAATAAGTTTTTTTATTGCTTCACATTAATACACGACAACGGCTAAAATGTATGGTGAAGTCCCTTAGGAGTCTTGATTGGATGACTTCCTCCAGCGCGCTATAAAAATGATTTGTATGACCTTCCAGCGCGTTTTTCAACCAACTCACGCTCACCGACTATACTTTCAATCCAACTATCTCTTCTGACTTATTAAACACACTCCGGCTTCAAGCGTTGTGTCCGATCTAGATTGACTTCCGCTTCAAACTGGTTGTTACCCTTGAGAAAACTGGAGAAATTCATAAAAAAAAGGATAAAGCATTTGCCGTTGATCAATCCCTTTTTGGGATGCGGCACGCATTCTACTTCCATTTGTACATTCGCAGTGGCGTTTGAATGCGATGTGGCCTATACAATGACTTGCGGGGCCAGCCGATGTTCAAGTCAGTGTTTTTATCCTCCCAGACAAGTCTGGTACCAATTAACCGACCCCGGAGGGATGGAAGGCTTGGTTGGCCCGGGCGACTCACGACCCAGGATTTGATCCCCGCAACCGTTCGCTGGTGTGCGCGCCAACTTGTCACTTGCCACCACTTTCCGCCCACACTTACTAATGGAAATCGATTTAAGGAATCAGTTTATAAAGGTTCCTTTAGGTTATGACCGCCGGCAGTTTATTTGTGTATCCATTCGTCATGATCTAACGATTTTGATTAACGTTTGATAGTCATGAATTTTTACTTGCATCTTTGACGAACAAAAGCTTACACAAACTAATTTTTTCTGAAAGAAATGACGAAATGACAGATATTAGCAATATCCAATAGTTGTGATTCAGGACGTCTCCGAGCCGAGTCGGTATAAAATGTCCATTGTACTAAAAAGCACTCGGAGGCGTCTGCTTCTTTCCTTATGGTTTTAGGCGACCACCTCAATGCTTTTCCCACCAATACGACCCAAATATCAGTCCGCCAACCAGAACATCGCAACTGATTGCTTTTACAGTATTTTTACATCACCGTGACCGCTACTGTTTTCTGCCGAGACAGATTAAATTCTTGAACGCATCGTCAAAGCCACTCAGACCACAGTGCTCGCCCCTTTGGTAGATTTCTGTTTTCCAAATGGCGAGCAGGAGGGATCCACCAATGGGACAAGCACTGGGGTGAAAGCGAATCCGCCCACATGCCCATGGTGAACGCTGCGTTCAAAGCATTCAGTGAAGAGTAGTGGCTTCGAACTCTGAAATCCAATAGTAGTGTGATGTTCGAATTAAAATCCAGACAACCTCTGAACTATTGATATCGTTAGTGATCGCTACAACTGCTGCACAGAAATTGATCTATGCGTAGCTTCTGAGACTACAGATGCTGCTTCCCTGAATGTTCGTTCACATCAGTATCTCTTTGTTTGCGTAGCTGTTGTGATGTATTTCCAATTTTGTTCAACTGCAATCTTTTCTATCTAATATTTTAGCAGCACAAGATTTGCTTTCAGCACAATTTGTCGAAGGCGTAGCTTTGATGAGCCACATGTGACCTCGCTGCTTGCCCCTAATTCAGTACTTATGTTATGCTTGTCCAAGGTAACCTTCACTTGGTGAAAATGCCATCGAAGTTAAAAGGAAGCGTTACAATGATTCATCGATGAGAACAGGAGTTTTTAGTTATTGTTTGACTTGAGAAACTGTCCGAAAATGATTCGACCAATCCCCGTTTGTTGGTGCCCCGTACGATTTTGTTTGATTTGTGTAGAATGTGTCACACGAACATGATGATGACTTTAATGTCATCAGACTGATTTTATGAGAATTCTCTGGATAAATTTGGTTTGGATGGATTGCAGGTGATTGGCGGGGAGCGCTCGGATCATCTTATTCCCGTGCCGCTCAGCAGTGCGCCCACCGACCAAGCTGTAAGAGGCTGTGTGCACACCAAATGAGTGTGTTTTAGCGTCGAGCCGCCGCCTTACACTCGAAAACGCGTACCCATTTCAAGTCAGTTGTGATATGCGTGTCCAGGATTGGTTGTAATCCGTGCACACATATCATTACAGGGCTGTTGTTTTGAGGACGAATAGCGCGTTGCAGTCTGCTGAGATTGCCATACTAATGTCTGCTTTTACAGCAGTGATGTTTGCAACTTCAGGGGCATTTTGTAGAGCATAACTAGGGCAACCAGTTTGACGAGGAATCCGCTGAAAGTTACACCACTCACGAACCCATCACTGAATTGCTTTTTTTCTGTGGAGTTCTATATTTTTACGAAACTAAAATTGATCCATCAAAGGTGTGTAGAATCTTTCAAGAGTTTAAGCAATTCAACTTCATGTCATTTTGTCCTTTATAGAGTGACTGTGTTGTGTTGTTCAGATTACTTATTTGTCACTTTGGCGTGTCAAATTTTGACCATAGGCCTCAACAAATTTCGCTCGCGCGAAAACTTAGTGTTTCTTCGGGGGTACAGGACATGAACCCACCAAGCGCCGAGGAGTCGGAGATGCCGAGGAATTCCGAGCTGTGTACTCTACGCTGTCTACAGTCTTGCTTGTCTTCCCTTTTACAAATTTAATTGACTTTAGGGTAGATGAGAAAATTGTGCCGCGTCTCTCTCCGTCTCCGGCCCCTTCATCGCGCGCCGGTGCGGAATTCCCTAACATCCTATCCGAAGCTTTAACTTACCCTCGGAAGAGTAGACGTTCAGTTTCTCCTACCTAAAGCATGACGGTCACTCCTCAGGTCGGGCCACCCTAAACTAGGGCATCCATTGGCAATAATAAAGGATCGTCCGAGTGAAGGGTGCGAAACGACCATTTTAAACTATTCCGTTGTATGCAGGTTTTTTTCTTTCATAGTGGCTCAGGCTTACGGCTAACCAGGCTTAGCCATCATGTTCGAGCACTATGGTTGGCACTTGTAGTGTCAGTGTCCTGGTGTCCTAATTCTAGGTGGCCTGACCTGAGGAGGAGAACTGAAACACATCCCCTTGGGTGTTATGTGATCACTGCGCGGCGGACATACGTGCATCGCCGCCAGTGATGCGGCCCTGGTCGTGCAGGCCAGTGATACCGGTTTGGGTTAGCAATTCTGAATTTTTCGTGCCTCGAAACATCGGATTCTGTGCTTCTTTCCAGAATAGCAACATCCCATTCTATTCGAAAGGCACTTTTTGCACAGTGAGCTTACGAGGAGGAGCTTGAGGGGATGTCATTAATGAAAGGCCTAGCGCTAGCAGGACAACCGTCCGTTCGCACTATTCCACAAAAGACGTGGGTGTGATTTTCGTGATTTCGGGAAGGAAAGGGCTTGGCATTTGGGTTCGAAGCTAATTATGATCTTTGAGAAGTGCCAACTAAGGGGGGGGGGGGGGGTTGTTAAAAGGGTTGTCATTTGAACGGATTTTACCCCCTTCCCCTCTCCCCCGATGAACGGCTGTTTTGAAAAAAAAGGGGCAGAGGTGGAGGCACGGGCAGTGTAGACTGGTCTCAGAATCAAAACCATAGAAAGATCTATGATGGCGAGGGTGGCGGTCGGAATAGGGGGATGAGTTGTATTGGGGGAGCCTCCTTAGTCTCATGTTGGTGGTGAGGGGTCGCATCGTGACCCCTCTGAATTGGGAGTGGGTCGGGCAAAATTTTTTCGGAAGGTCGAAACGTGGGCGTGTACCGCACGGGAGGCGGCTTCTAACGCCAGGTGTAACACTTCCTTCGCTACCTCCTTTTTACCCACAACTTCCGAAATCTGCTCTCCTCTCATCAGCACGCAATGGCCATTGTCTTAATGGCAGAGAAACATAAAAATTCTCCAACCACTTGTTCCTCCAGTGGTTAACATCAAGAGGGGTAGTAGGCATAGAGAATAGGGGGACCGTTCAAGATTCTATTCGCCATACATCCAAGTCTGGAAGGGGTGCACTATATAGGCCGATGTCAGACTTTGCGAATCGCGCGATTCGCTAGCGTCTGCGGTCGCGTCGCGGCCAGTGAATCACTCAATTGGCTGGTACCGCAACGCGAACGCGACGATTCGCGAAGTCTGACATCGGCCATATAGTGCGTTCATGCTCATGACCAGTGCCGTCCAACCTGGCACTCCAAACATAAGTAATTCTCCCTATATCAATACGTGGGGTGATCGGTCTAGGTTGTTTAGTTGTGCCGCACTACCTGGCTGAGCTGTGATTGCTAAGCTGTTCAACGACTTCTTAAGGACCATCTAATGGTGTAAAGTTCAAAATGGTGTAATTTTCAGCATTTCCCAAAGCAACTTCACTTTATTTACTCCCTACCTAGTTCGAAAGAGGGCGAAAGCGCGCTCAACAGGCTACAGCGTGTTTCGCACATTCGCGGCGGCTCGTAGCTACGTGTTCGTGTGTGAATGTGTGCGTGTGGTGTTGGTGTTGGTACTGTTGAATAAATCGTAACAGTCGGTGTAAGGACTTACCTAGACGAAAGTCCTTATTCGTGGCTCATCCAAAGTTGTTGTGATGGCATGTGACGTATTCCTACCCACTTAGAATAGGTCTCTCATAAATTCCTGTCCGAGTAAGAATGATGATCAACGAAGATGTCAAGACTTCCTTTTTCCCTTTGTGTCTTTATCTCCTTCCAACGCTCTTGCTCTCGTTGAATTTATACCTATTTTCTTAATAAGAGTTTTAAATTCCCTCTACTAATCAGGATGCAGTGTTGTGAGGTGTTACTGCTAGTGGCTTCCGTACTCAATCCGAGCTTACCGTACCGTATCTCTCGGATAGTGTGTGGGCGGTCGTTCTATAGTTGTGATGAACATGTGTATAGAGATTAAAATTTATAAAATTTTCCATAATATCATATACACATATCTCTATACTATATGTTCCTCGGAACCTTTGTTTGAGCAGCGTTCTCTCCTACGTTTGCAATGTGACCTGCGACTGTTGTGATGTGCGTGGAAGCGTTGAGCAGCAGGCGCTTCTAAAACGTGACAATGCTTTTTCTGTAGCTTGAGGTTAAGTTCAGAGTGACTGTGTACGTGTCAACCTCGTATGTGGCAAAGCGGCTGCTGCTTTATTCTTTGCGCACAGGCACGAAGTCGGGCAACCAGACCCGAGATTTGGTTCAACTGCCCTTTTTGTTTTAGATTCGTGTCGTAAAGGCGTTCCAAGCTGGCTTGGATAGAAGGGAGCCGAGTTTGACCGGTCAGTCAGCGGCACGACTTCGAGAAATCAGTCGGCAGCTAAGACTCCAAGTGGAAAGCGAGGGACGAGGTGAGGCAGCTTGACACCATTCGCTTTTTGCACTTCCGTCTTTTCATTTCCGGAATGATCAGCTCTTTTCTTTTGAAGGAAATTTCCACGGTAAGGTCAAAAGTCGAAGAAAGGGAAGTATACCTAGTGGAAGGCAGGCCGGTCCCATAAGGGTTCAGGACGATGGCGTTTTGCAGTGAAAGGTGTACCACAGCGACCTGGCAGGGCTATACCCACGCCGCTGCCCGCCCACTTCCTCGCCGTCTGACTCTAGCCGTCTAGCAGAGAGAGCGTTAGCGTTGAAGAGGGCAGCACGATGAGAGTCGCATCAATGCGGAAATCAACGGGCAAAGAAGGGGTCCATTTTTCGGGTTCCAAACCGTTTCCCATGGTTTTTTCTTCATCCCTGCCCCAATAACCACCTCTACCTGATTTCTAATGGGTTGCCTTGAACTCCGCCTTCAAGCCGTTATTCACATTCAGCGTCGTGGCATGTTCAGTGTTAGTGGGTAACTCTGTCCGGGCCGCTGTTTTCCAGGGAAGGGGTGAAGGGAACGGGATGCAAGAAGTGATAATTTTTCTTGAAGGAGAGAGAAGGAAGTTAAAGGAATCTTCCACGGAAAATCATCGCCTCCATTCCTACAAAAAAAAAAACGATACCTTAGGCCCCTTGCTTCATGAAGATAGCAAAAAGAACGGAACATAAGGCGATGGTTTTGATAATAATTATGATAACCAGTTCGACTATGAAAATTTTGAATTCCCGCTGTAAAACTTCCACAACTGTTAGCGGCGTGGAGTCAACACGTGCAAACGTGTCAAAAGCGTGAACGTGAACTGGATTCATGTTGGGCCCTTCCACGTGGATCCGCACCTGCCACGCACTTCGTCACAGAAGCACTTCCGGTCCCGCCTACTGGTCCAATCCGGTCCCACAGATGGTCTTTCCAAGGGCTGTTTCTCTTGGGGGTTTCATCATTTTCGCTCTGAACTTTGCATATGGTCTTCAATGACCATGCCCAACACCTGTACACAAGTAAAGGATGAGCAGGTTTTCCGTGGAAGATTCCTTTAATGGCACCGTTCGTCGTAACGGTTGCTCGTAAAATCTAAAAGAACGACTCGTTCACAGAAGGGTGGAAGAAAGTGATTGCTCTTCCTTTTTATTTACTATCTGAATATTTCATAACCCAATTACTTATTTTAAGCACGTTCTACTTCTCGCGGTAACATCGGTAACATCAAAGGTGGAGGATCGAACAATACGGCATTGTAAAAGAGCTACAGCGATCGCCAGCTCTAAGTGCGACTACTTGAAGTAACACTTCAATACCATCTCCTGAAAATTGTCTCAAATATTTTTCATTGATTTAATTGTTAATAGTAATTAATAGATTATCTATTTGCAATTCGTATTTATCGCATGACGTCAGTAAGATTGATAACATTTGATATGAGAGCACTTAGGCGTTCATTATGAATCTGCATTCGTTCTTTTCCTTAGATTATCCCGCGATATCCCCATGTAGGACCCGAATTCTACCTATTGCATTATATGTGAAAGTGAGGTATAGGTGAGGTTTTCATTACGCTAGGATTGTTTGTCATCGGAGGTTGTCCATAGCAAGAATCTCACCTTGTCTGAGCCTCCCACCTTGGTCTTTCCTGTCCGTAGAATGTGTATAGAGTTGAAAGAGCTCGAACTAGGTCCAGTTATGCATGAGCAGCGCCCGAATACGCCTAAATTTCATCAAGCTCCCATCGTTTCGCTCCTCTTTCCTACGTTTTTTTTACACCGGTGCCGACCGTTTTAAGGTAGACTACCGGTACATTCGTTTACGTATGCTTGCGTTTTGTATCAGCGTCATGTCGCCAAAGATTAAGATTAAATCATGGCCTGGGAATGCTAGCCACATGATGTGGTTGTTTACCCCATCTCAGTGGTCGACCCTGTTTTCAAATTATAAATTATGTTATATGAGTTTTTTACTCATTTTCTTTTCTTCTTTTTTGCGGTTCTCTGTTTTTTCTTCTTCTTCTTCGATTTCGGCTAGACATACAAGAACGCCCGTGCGACATACACTCTCCACCACTTTTCCCCTTGAAGAAGTTCGCCGTCGCGAATTAGTTGTGTTTTTGTTTCGCCTAAATAACAATGAACGTGTCACTGATTAACTAACGTACTAGGTCACTCAATGTTTGCAGAATCATTTCTATTTTTGGTTATTTTCTGACTTCTACTACGTATTCACTCTTTATATCATAGCATTATTTTTAGCTTTTGATACTTTTATCGATGCTTTTCTGCCGATTCACGATAAAATTATTCTCATACTAATGTTTTCCGTTTGTTCGTAGTGCAGATGTAAAACAAATTGTCACATTATTTCTTCCAGCGCTTACGGTTTATTGAATTATCTATTACACCATTTTGGCTGCGCACGCATTCGCGTGCATCACACGGGACTGCAATGGTCTAAAACAGGGCCATCGATATTTTCATAGAGTTTCGTGGCAAACTCCGCCCACCTCGGTGCCACCCACCAATAGCATTTGACCTCATTTCCTTCTCCGACCGCGATCCACTTTTTCCCCAGTCTCCGGGACTTCTTGGAACTGAGTTATAAGCTTGATAGCAAACTCCGCCCACTTTGTGTGCGCCGCGCACCACCATTAACACTCAACCTTAATCACGCTAACCTCTTCCCTCGACGCATCCACCGCCGCTCTTTTCTCGGCTGCTCCTAATAGGCTGCATGGCAGAATTTAGGACGGATCGTAGAAACAGGGTCGGCGGCTCGCGTCCGCCCACGGTCTACATCTTGGGGAACGCTCGCTTCCATTATTGGCGAGGCCTCCAACTCACCTGCCATACCATGCTGCACTATTATTTTTCTTCTCTGTGGCGGCTTTCTCCTGAGGCGAGTTTAAAATTTTTTTATTTAGGCACCGGCGTATTTGGCGAGCTCCGCCACCAGTTCGCTTAGGCCGGCCGAATTTATTGTGGCAAGACTTACACGAGGCTAGAACCTGAAGCTGACTGACTTAGCGCGCCCGCAAAATTTTTTGTTCTTACTAATATACACTCTGTTTGCCATTTACGACACCCCAAATTTGGTCACTGAAGTTACGGAAAAACATTCGCAGCCAAAAATGAGTATGTGCCACTTCGCTCGGCGCTGTAAAGAACCTGTAACAGTAGTACTATCCAAGCAGTTCTGCACCCGACTCTTCTAGAAATCTAGGGTTAACAAAAAACGAAACAAATCAGCCGGGTTGGGCAAAGCTAGACAGACATCCGCAACTGAAATTTCTGACCCAGTTCTTTTCGCCACTTTAGATAGAATTTTCCCCTAGGCACTTCACAGTACAATATTGTACAATCAGTATTGTACGATAATGGCAAGGCACGGATACGCGCGCATTGCCCTGGCATAGCACCTTGAAGAGGCCGATCTGACATGATTTTCTACGCAATTTTTGTCATGCCACGTGCAGGCCTCCGGATCCGCTGATCGTATCTCGACTAGATATCTTTTTACAGCGAGACTAGACGCGATTATATCTATGGCACAGGAAACTAACGACGCAGCGCGACGCCGGCCATACGGAATTCCAACTGAATTTTAGAACATCTTCCACTTACACAGGTGGCAGCCTGCCGTAAATCTATACCTGGTCGGCTTCAAAGCAAGGCGATGTTGGCTCACCGACATGAATAACAGCGCGCTGTACTGCTAAGAAGTATGCTGATGATGACAATTATGTATCGTATACCGTAGCCGGTGGTATTAGGGCACATCATCGTGCTCGGCAAACTTTTTAACTTCTCGTACAGATTGAATTTCGTGCCTTATTACCTAGAGGCCAAACAGCTTATTTGGTGTGTGATATTGCAGGTAGTTTTTCTGGTGAAAAAATGTTCCTCCTAGCGAGCCTGATGGATGACACTAGTATAAAAATGATTTGGGCAGAAAATCCATCTTCTTATCGAAAAGGAGCCTGATACTGATACTGCACAACCTACAGTCGGCGTGGCAAGATAGATGTGGTCTTCACGATTCAACGAATGAACTTCACCGACTAAGTAAGTGCTCAATCATCGCGTGCTACCGTCTACGACGCAGAATCGTCATCATCAGCATACTTCTCAGCAGTACAGCGCTGTTATTCATGTCGGTGAGCCAACTTCGCCTTGCTTTGAAGCCTACCATATAGATTTACTCGGATGGTCCACTTGTTAGCGAGGTCTAAATTCAGTGAAAACCCTATGGGGCGTCGTTGCTCGTAGTCCTTTGTTCCTAGAATAATCGGTACAATTCCTTGCATCTCCTACAAAAGATGCTAGTCGAAGATTACGATCACGGATCCACGTAGGCATACAAAAATTGGTAGAAAACATGTCATGTTATGTGGAGTGCTAGGGAAAATTTTTACTAAAGTGAAAAAACTGTCAAAATTTCTGCTATGTCGTATAGTTTTGCAACGGAGTGTAGTAGAGATATTGCTTTATGATCCCATTCTGTGTCAAAAAGCTTAGTAAAAGGGAACTTACCTATATTGAAATGCTGAAATGCGCATGATGTTGACCATTCCATTTTCCAAGGGATGCGTCATGCGCTTAGCATAGACTTAGATTCGCAATAACATTTTAGTGGTTCTTTGCAGTGCAAGGACTATGGAGTGTCCAAGTCAAAGAAATTTTTTGGGCTAGGGTTCGGAAGTGTAAGCTTGCGCCAGTGGGCCTAGCCGTGAGAAGGGAAATGTGTAGGCCTGAACGGGTTTTGATCAGCAGCATATGCACCTGGTTGCTTTTCAGCAATCAGCTGCCTCACCTTTGCTCAAATCACTGTTAGGGTAAAAATCTCGTTTAAGGAACGTCAGTGTAATATAAGGCAAAGGTCGGGATTAGTTGACCAAACCAACCCTTTCGGTCATGCTGTACTTGGTTACGCACCCGTAGAGATGTTCGCTCAAAATCTCGAACGGCGCGGTAATAAGGCCCCAGGGCATGTACTATGCGCTATCGCCGCCTGGCCCCGCTACGACCGCCCACCTCGGGATGTGGTGCGTGGCTGGCATAACGTGTGAAATCAGCTAGGTTGATTGCCGTATCAACCGATAGAACGACTGACATCTCCAGAAAACTTGTTTGTACGTGCCTCTTTCCCCAAGCCAGCCTCCTTCACTGCTAGTGGGAAAGAGGGTTTTGTTAACGGCCTTGTCGACGGTTTTTCTCAGTTTTTTCTCCACTGTCGTTCCACTTCGCATCTCTATACTCAGTTTCAATCGCCATAATACCCCCTTATTGAGCCCGACTTTTGCCTTTAAGGACAGCCATACTACTGTATCTGTCCATACTGCAGGGATGACTTGATCATTTGTCACACATTCCTTTCCGTGGATTTGCTAGATCTCCCTGAAGGCAGCGATTACTTGTGATTGTTGTAATTTTTTTAAACGAAACATCGCATGGCCGACAGCGAACGGTGAAACCCATGATCAAGAAATACAAACTAAGAAAAGCGTAGCAAGAAACTCTGAAGTAACAAAAGGAACAGTTTCCTAAGAACAGTACATTCACAAACTGAGGAGCTGAGAAAAAATAAAAATGAGATACCTAATCTAAGCAGTCCAGCGTAAGCTCCGAGTTTGTTCTGTTTACACAGAGAAGTGGCGTCTACATTACGTTTAGCCTTCCCAATTGTTTTCTAGGGCATCCTCTAGTTCTTTACTCCCCAACTAATAGCAAGTTACTGCTGCTTGAACCGTGAAAAAATCTTGGAGAATGTTATCAAATACGATAAAGAGGGAGTGCATTGGGGAAGCATATGCAGCACACGGAGCAGTAGCGCTTTAACGAGGAAAGGTGCGCTGATTGCTGAGCAGGGCTTCGAAAGCACCCAGATTCCAAAAGCGCTACTACCCCCCCCCACTTCCCCACCCACTAGTTTAGTTGGTTAACTGGGAGAGCAGCGTTGCCAGCCGAGGCACAACTGGGACAACACGATTGGAGTGTGGTTCGGCATGGTACCACCAAAAAAGCTGTAAATGAACTCTTTCATACGTCCGCTTTCTGAGCTGTTACCTGTTCATGGTGAAAAACCAACGGCCAAGAAAGGGGGGTCCCGTTCGCGTTTCCTCGACGGATTTCTCTCCTTTTTTTCAACACTGCTGTACCTTTGAGCTCCCCCACGTCTCCTTTAAACCCTTAGCATTCCGAGCCACTCCAGGAGGGATCTGATCATGCAGGAAAGCGATTACCCTCAAAAAAGT